TGGATGGAGTAAATCAGATAGAGAGGAACATGGAAGGGTTATGTAGACATTTAGAAATTTGTCATCACAGAGACATTTCAGGACCAAAAGAATATGATGTGGTAAGTTCATTGCCCTACGTGGGCAGTATTAGTACCCTGTATTTTTTTCCCCCTAAATCATTTTCATTACTACATGTAGTTTTGGATGTTGCAGCTTTTATTGCTGCCTTATGTACTCTGATCCATATACATTAATCATTCTGTGTAAAGTAGTTTTTCTTAATTGCAACAGTGCCAGGTCCTTTCTTAGCTTCAGTCTGCTTGTAGATCATTTGTATTTCAGCCTGCCACCCTCTAAGACAGATCTATGGTACAGACCTTTCCTATTGTCTTCAAAAAACAAAAACAAACCCACACCTCTGTGCATGGTTGAAAGTTGGCCAACCTAGTTTTAACTTACATAACCAATCCTTATGCAGGACTCTGATTGCTATAGAAATAAGTAATAGTTTAACGAAACTGAGCAATTCTCCACATCCAAATACTGCTGAATAAAGCACACACTGCAGAACACACTTATTTTACAAAGCCTTTCAACAATAACCTCCGCAATACTCCTAAACTGCTTCAAACTCGAACAGCCACCTGAAATAATATACAGTTGCAGAACTTGTTTGTCTGGTCTGTACTATATCGTGAGCAATTTGGAGCAAGGACTGTGAGTCATATGTCTGCAGAACAGGGAGCAACACTGTCAATACTCAATGAACAGCTGCAGCATAGGGACAAATCCTTCAAAGGGAGTTCTAGCTGAATAAGACCTGCAAGCATTACCCTCTACATACTAGCAACTGGCAATCTTCCAAAGGTTCAAAGGTTTAGCAAAACACACAGATGTTTGTTTAAGTGTCTAAATACTATTTTTTATTACTATTAATGAGGCTGAAGATCTTCTAGTACATCCTTCCTCTAGTCATGCCACAAAACAGCCTCTCGCACAATGATTCTGAGGTGTTGCTGAGGCCTCAAATACAAGTGACTTCAGAAAGAGTTTAGGCCCTCAGAACTTCAGGGGTCATGCCAATATTTCTTCTCCCATGCTGCTTGAAACCACTCCGGGTGAAATTCTTCCCTTGAAGGCTAAAGTGGGACTTGGAGGTGCAAAGACCTTTTGCTGGCCCTGGGCATATAAGTGAAATTTCACCATCAGTGTCAAAGCACGTAAAAGGAAAGTGTTAAGGGATCTTTTCAAGCCTCAGAAAAACCTTTGATTTGGGTATAGATAGAGTTTGAGGGAAAGTTCTTATTTTATCCTCACCACATCTCTCTAAAACAACTGCCCTAATACACACACTGATAAGTCATCTCTAAAACAATAGACATTAACAACAGCAATCATATTGGTCAACCAAGTAGAAAGATTTATCCTTAGGGTGAACATTTTAACTTTTCCCTTTTCTTTTTAACATACACTTAAATTGCCTCTTTGTCTTTCAAATTACAAAATGTGTCTGTAAAATATAAAAAGAAATTATAGTTAATTGTACTATAGGCCTGGATATAATGATAATCCACTAGCACAGATCTTTGAACTCATGTGGGGTGTCATTGACTGATTGATTTATTGATTTATATTTTCAATTTCGAGTCATTTGCACAATGTGTACATTCTACCCCCATATTATAAAGCAGTATACTGGCAATGTTTTCTGAGACGAATGCCATGAAAAGTATGTAAACACCAATCTATCAATCAATTCAGTTTTTTATATGACCCTAAACACCATAGTACCCACTTACTCTGCAGCAAGCTTGACCTACATTCTTTGGGAAGACAAGCAGTCCAGTACAGCAGTCTGAAAATTTTGAGGCAGCTTCACAAAAGTTAAAAAATAGATTTGTTTTTTAATAAATGAATAATACAATAACTGCAGTGTTCCTTCTGCTATATAATTTGACATTACATTCATTTTATTGTATTCAATCCCAACATTTTCAGTGGCTGAAGAATTTTATATTGAAAATGTATAGCTGTATTATGGAAGTTGTCTGGCCAATGAGCAGGAGACAGTGGTGCTTTTGGTACCTGGGAAGGAAGTATGCGATTCTGGGATAAGTGCACTGGCTGGATATTATAATTATCTTCAGTAAGAATTAACTATGTTGATAATGATATTTGCATCATTAGTTTTCAAAATTAACACCAGTCAGGGGAGCAGTCTACACCTTTCAGAGCTATGTCTGCAGACATCAGCCATGTTCAGTTGTACTTAAGACATGATCAAAAGGCCACTGAGGTCAACAGGAATCCCCCTATTGTTTTCAATGGTCTTTATGCCAGGCCCTCAGTTTGGAGGCTTTCCATTGCAACCATAAGGGGTAGAAATGTATTTATTAATTAAATGAAAGTATAGAACTGGAGTGTACTTGTGTGGGTAATGGGTGGAATCATGGAGGACCTAAGCCCCAAATGTAATACAGAGGAGGTGGAGGAGGCAGAAATAAGAGCTTGAATATGCATGTAAGATGAGTAGCTTTAACTATATTACATCAAAAGTAGGCACATAAGAAAGAGTTCAAGTACCATTAATACGAATCTGAAAGAAGAATTAAAATACGTATTGAATTTCTATGTGCATAAGTGAATATGATGTGATGATTGGAGCATCGGCACTGGAACCTAAAACTTCTGAGTTCTGTTTCTTACCCTCCCAATGACTTGCTCTGTAATCTGAGGCAGGTGCCATCACTTTCCCTAAATTCTGTTGAGTTTAATATCAGTTTAATTATAATAATTAATTATTAACTGACTCACAGGAATGTTGGGAAAATAAGCTTTGAGATCCTCAGATAGAACAGTAGTTCTCAACCAGGGGTACCTGTACCCCTGGGGATACACAGAGGTCTTCCCCGGGGGTACATCAACTCATCTAGGTATTTGCCTAGTTTTACAACAGGCTACATAGAAAGCACTAGCGAAGTCAGTACAAACTAAAATTTCATACAAATGACCTGTTTATATTGTTCAATATATTATACACTACAATGTAAATACAATATTTATATTCCAACTGATTTATTGTATATGGTAAATATGAGAACACAAGCAATTTTTCAGTAATAGTGTGCTGTCACACTTTTGTATTTTTATGTCTGATTTCGTAAGCAAGTATTTTTTCAGTGAGGTGAAACTTGGGAGTATGCAAGACAAATGGGACTCCAGAAAGGGGTACAGTAGTCTGGAAAGGTAGAGAGCCACTGAGATAGAAGGTGCTAATGAAGTGCAAAGAGTTATTACTAGTAGCATTTAATTTAGTAGAAAATAGAAAAATAATAATAATAATGATACCTTTGTTTACTGTAGAACCTTCATTCTCAAACTTTACACTGTATAATTATTCCTCACAACAGTGCTGTGTGGTACGTAAATAAGTATTATTAACTCAGTTTACAGATGGAAGAACTGAGACAGAGGGATTATGGGCCCTGTTCTGAAAGGTGACAAACACTTCCTGCTTGGGCAGCTGGTGACCCGGCAGCTGGTGACCCAGCCGCTGGGGGAGCCCGACCCCTCCCCTTCTGACTCCCTCTCCCTCACAATCCCTTCTGCCCTCCTCTGCCCCTCCCCTTCCGTCCTGCTCCCTCACAGGAGCCCAGAGAAGCCCCACTGTGGCTCTCAGCCCTAGAGTCGGGTGGCAAGACCCCAGCCCTGGTGTGCTGGGTGGTGCGGTGAGCCCCGGTGCGCCAGGCAGCAGCACCACCAGCCCCGGTGCTCTGGGGGGCGCGGCCAGCCATGCTGCGCTGTGGGGGCATTGCCTTCAGCTCCGCTGCTCCAGGCAGTGTGGCCAGCCCTGCTGCGCCAGGTGGGAGCCACCCCAGCCCCAGTGCTCTGAGCGGCTGGGTCATCCCCTGCCCCAGTGCTCCAGGCAGTGCGGCCACAGCACCAGCCATCCAGAGTCCCTGCAGGATGCAGGCCAGCCAGCCCCAGCCAGCTGGGTCAACCAGGGTGCTGAAACCACAGAGAAGGGGCCTGGGCTGGGGGGTGTAGCGTGGGCGGGGCCACACTAGGCTGTTTGGGGAGGCACAGCCTACCCCTGCCTACAATATCCACCGCCCATGAGTTCCTGCAAGATAGTCAACATCCTCACTTCCCATTGGGGAGTAAGTATACTTAAGAACTAGGTTTAAAATTCAGGAGCTCTTGGTTCCCAGTCCAGCACTTAAACCCCTGGACTGTAACTCTCTTAGAAAATCAATTTTTACCCTTGCTGAAGAGTTTGATTCCTTCCTTAAATACTTCCTTTATTACAGAAGCAGCAGCCAATAGTTAGGAGTCTGACATTACACTATAAACCATTTTCCTTTGTTATTTATAACTTTACAGCCCAATTATTAAAATAGGTTCTATAAATCCCCAACTTGGGAGCAATTAACTTGACTTTCTTTAGAAAATGAGTTGGAATTTTTTAAAATCTGTTTTAAAACATGAAGGCTGCTAATCTATAAAGTGAAGTATCCTCTTTAGTATCTCTATTTGTGTGGCATTTTCATTTACACATGAGAACTAGCTAGAGTGACTGCTGTGAAATTATATACCATGACATTTTTAATGTGTATTACAGCATGACTGTGACTGAAAACCTCCTTGTCACTGAAGAATAAAAGTCACGGTGGTTATCTTAGTAGATGCATAATACGCTGAACATTTTGTCCAAGTTTTTCCTGCACACATTTCTACCTACCACTCATGCATTTCATTTGTGCACAGAAAATGAAATTCACCAAGCAAGGCCCTCCACTCAGTACAACCCAAGTGGTAACACTGTGATAAGTAGAGGTGTGGATGGAGCAGCTGCCCAAGGACCCTCTGCCTGTGAACTGGGGAGGGAGCTCTTTGCCAACTCTGAATATAGTTGTGCAGAGGGGAATTCGGGGCAGGCTTATACTACATTCAGCAGGGGGATCTTCACATGGTATAGAGCTGCTGTAGTGACTCATATACCATCCCTCTTCCTGCAGAAGGAGCATGGGGCCATGGCCAGCTGGCACAAGATGAAGCTATCTGAAGGTTGCTCTAATCTACTCAGTGGGATTGACCCAGTACTGAATTGCCCCAGGAGAAGGAGAGTGTAAAGGTGGCTTAAAGGTGGCTTATAATTTTGTGAGAATGAAAGCTCTTTAAGAAAAAAAGTCTGCCATATTGAGTGCACAGTAATGAATCTCCAAAACACGACAATAATACATGTTTGTGATGGAGAATCTTCTGGAAAAAAGCCAATTTAGTGCAATAAGCTTTTCAATTAAAAGTTTTAAATTTTAGAGAGATTTCAGTTTAAAAGCATTAACTTTTGCACATCACATTTCAGCACACAGAGGAAAAATTCACCCCATTTAGGAGATGGCTCTTGAAATGTCAGTAATGTAGGTCTCAGGAGTTTTGTATTAAATGAAAGAGTTTTTATTGGAGACTCAAATCAGCCATGTTACTGCAATGTACTCAGACTTAGACAAGAAGAGGACACATCTTTTAATGTCAGTTCACAATATTTCATTCCCCATTCAAAAAGATTTGGACAAATAACTAAACGGGAAAAACAAATAAATGGTATTTGTCTGAACACAGTAAGAAAGGTTCATTTAAACACAAATAAATAGCTATTTGAAAACACACAGATCACCTGAAATCCAGACATACAGCAACTGTTTAAGATAGGTGAGTGAAAGACCAAAGCTAGAGGGTTTATTTAGAATCCCATCAAAAAAAATGCTGTAAGAAAACTTTGCTACTTGTTTGCAATAAATTAAACAACAGAGTTCCAGATGGTATGATGTGAATGTGAATTCATGCTAACGTACAGGGCTTCCTACCTGTGAAGTCCACATAGTGGGGGGACAGATCAAGCCTTACGGGTCATCTTTTCAGAAAACTATTCTGAAAATTATTTCATACCATAATCACAATGCAGATTAAAAGAAGGTTTTGAAAGTATTATATATGTTTTTAATGTTAACTGGGACTTAAATAATATTTAAACACAGTGATAACTGACATGAGAGACTACTTAAGCCTAAAGAACCGAACCCCCCCCCCCCCCAAAAAAAGGGTTGTTTAAAGGAGCCAACCTTCTAACAAAGGTGGAGCACAGCAGTACTCAGTATGATCCTGATCTTGCAATCTTTCACATTTTTACTTCTGCACTAGGGCCTGATCTAACACCCATTGATGTCAAGGGGAGATTTTCTATAGACTTATGTGAGTTGGACTTAGCCCACAGTCTCCACTGAAGTAAATAGGACTAAATGCAGAATAAAGATGAGATTTGCAGGGTTTGGCCCTAGATTTAGGGATATTTTTGGGTAGTCTTTTAAGACAGGAGGTGGCTGAATAAGGGTGAACTGTTGTACAGGTTTAATTGTACCAGAAACTGAAAGAAAAAATGTTGAATGAGTGCTTTAAAAATCTTTTCAAGCACACTGGCACTTGCAATTCATCTTAACAAAACTGAGATCCTCAATAAAAGATTCTCAGATATCCTGAGACAGAAGTTGCACTATATACTGTAAGTGCTTAGTAGTATTTTATTAATTACACACAAAAACCTATGTTAAAAGAACATTATTAAGGTTGAGAAGTAACGCACTCAGAAGTTAGGAAGTGCCAGAAATAAATTTGCTTGGGTAACCTTAATTCAGCCCCTTTGTGCAGATGCAGTATGATCGTCTTTAATTACATGACCACATATTTTTTCCACAGGAACCCTGCCTCATTCAGTGCATAGGATGGAGCTGCGCTGGGGATGAATCAGCTCTGTATAGAGAAGACAGTTGTCTGTAGAACTCCTGCCTCATTTGTTGGATGGTGTGTAACGAACAAGGCCGGGAACTGTAGGAAGAGAAAAGGATGATCTTATGGTTAAGGCAGTTGAATGCTACCCTGGTGAACGGTACCTATGCCTTTGCCAGAGTACGTATATGATGCTGGGCAAGTCACCTTCACATGTGGTCACTAACTGTATGTTCCTCATTTTCTGGGTGTCTGATTCAAACTCAGTCTGACTTGCACAAGTGCTGAGCACACACCCCTGCAACTGAACTCAGTGGGCGCTGCACACTGAACACAGGAAGTGCTAATAATGGAAAGTACTGTGAATAATCAGGTACTAGGCATCTGATATCGGGCATCCAAAAATAATGGATTTTTTTTATCTTAATCTCTCTGTGCCTCAAATCCCCATCTGTGAAATGGGGAGAATATCCTTTCATGTCATGAGGTGTTGTGCAAATACATTCATTAATGTCCGTGAACCACTCAGGTACTACACTGATGAGTGCCATAGAAAAAGTTTATAAGAAAATTATTCTGTCCTCAGAGCATGCTTTGAATAGTGTGCAGCAAATAAGACTGAGGGTCACACATTGAACAATGAGGAGAAAACAAAATGTTGAAAAGCTGCCCATTAAATGAGCACTGTCCATAATGTGTGCTGAATGAGACAAGAGTCCAGTGGAATAAATACTACGTGATCATGTAATCAAACACTTTGTCATTATGCATATGAACAAGGAGCCTGAATAAGGGTTGCACAGGCAACATTCCCCCACGTCTCCTTCCCTCCACCATACAGGTTCCCAGTCCAGTCTCCTTGCCCAACTAGTCTGTCTGCCCTAGTCCTTAATCTGATTTTAGTCCGCCCCCATCGTCCTGTCTCCCACCCCATTTTTCTCCCTGACCCACTCTCATTGCCAGTCAGTCCCAGTCTCCACTCCCCAGGGTCCTTGTCCCAATCATAGAATAGAATCATAGAATATCAGAGTTGGAAGGGACCTCAGGTAGTCATCTAGTCCAACCCCCTGCTCAAAGCAGGACCAATCCCCAACTAAATCATCCCAGCCAGGGCTTTGTCAAGCCTGACCTTAAAAACTTCTAAGGAAGGAGATTCCACCACCTCCCTAGGTAATGCATTCCAGTGTTTCACCACCCTCCTAGTGAAATCTACTCCCCAAACCCTGCCCACAGTGCCCTAGGTCTGGGTTTTGCCCCCTCTGAATTTGAATCACATAGGTTCCTCTTCCACATTGTCTGAATGCCAGCAGGGGGCTTGAGAGCACAGGAGAGACAGATTCACTACTCTCAGCTGCCTCCAGTGCCCAGCAGCAGTCAGGAGCAACCATTACAGGGAAAGACTAGCTTTGACCTTGTGGCTCTGAGCTGGGGGGAGCATGCTCAATTGCTCTGTAGAGATGGTGCATGCACAGTCCAGTCACAAGTAGGAGTTTGGAAGGGATGGCACATGCTCAGTCCTCTATGGCAGTGGTCCCCAAATTGTGGGCATGCCCTGTTTGGAGGGGTGCAGTGGGGCCTGGTCCAGCCTCAACAGGGGCAGGGAGAGAGCACTACCTAGCCCCTGCTATGCCCCCAGCTCTGCTCCAGACCCGACTCCTGGCTGCGGCTCCCCTCCCAGCTGCAGCCCGGGCCTCAGCCCCGGCTCCTAGCTCCAGCTGCGGCTCCTCTCCTGGTCATGGCCCCCAAGCACAGCTCTGCTCCTGGCCTGGCCACAACTCCAGCCTCAGCCTTGGCCTCAACTGTGGCCCTGCTCCTGGCCCCAGGTCCCAAACACAGTTGGGGGCAGGGAATGGATGGGGTAAAGAGGGACATGAGGTAAACAGTTTGGGGACCACTGCTCTGTGGGGATTGTGCATGTGCAGTCTGGCCAACATTAGCAGCCCTGAAAAGCTCAAGCATGCTCAGTGAGGATGGAATCTTTGGAGAGTTCAGTGTTAAACTCCAGCAAGTCTGTACAGAGCATTAGTAAACTGCAATTTTTCAAAGGCTTATAACTTCACCAAAATTTTCCCACATAAATGGAAAAAGGTACAACCTTGACACAAAGGCCACCCCTCTGGCAAGTTCCTGCTGCAAACCATGGGGATGCTAGAAACTTTCAAAGTAAAGCGCTCAAGAATTTAACATGGACAAAACAATATATTTTCCCATAGCTTCATTGTCAGCAACAGCTGAACTATTCTGGCTGAAATTTAAAAGAAAAAAAAAATCAGCCTGAGGCAGACAGTCAGCATGGAAAAGTTCAGCCTGAATGATTACAGTTTAGCAAAGTTATAAGCTAAAGAAAACAAGATCTTTATAATGGGAAATGTTGGGCAACCTTAATAATGGTTAGTGCTACCAGCCCTACCTTTATTATAACAATTATTTTAATTGTATAAGGGAGTAAGGTCCCCCCCCCCCCCCGCACCCCACATTAATTTCTTCATGTGTTGTTGAACTTTCATGAAATTGGGAAGGCAGAAGTGAAATTCCTCCCACCCCTCATTTCCTTTGACCTGCTTCAGCAGGAGCAGGAGATGCCCTCCTTGCGGTTTGCTTCACACTTCATTGGCAACTTATATTGAACGTTAAGTATTACTTTATGGACCTGATTCTCCTCTTGTTTACTATATAAATCAGGAGTAAACTTCACTAAAGTTAATGGAGTTTCACTAGTGTGTGAAGCTGGTTGAAAAGAGAATTCAGCTCAGTGATTTATTGTGGCACTGTGATTTTTTTCTTTGTATCTTTCAGCTTTGATAGAGCAGACACCAGCTTCAGTCAGCATCATCCCAGTATCTTCCTGACAACTCTTTTGAGGCTACTTCTTTTTGTTCTTTTTCTCATCAGTGACCACCAAAATGCACCCATCCTTAGCTTATATAGGAGTATTTTTGTTCCTGATTCTTCTCTCTCATTTTCTCTTTACTTTCTTCAAAGGCTTGTGTTGGGATGAGCTAGAAAAATAAGTAGGAGCAAACCAAACAAATATTCTTTTTGGTTCACCGTTAAGATGACTATAAACCTGGATTTTGTTTGTGTGATGGGAGCAGACCAATGTTAAAAATTAAAATCTGAATTAACAATGTATGGAAATTATTAACAGACTGATGGATTTGTTATTTTCAAAACTATTAGTTTCAGAGCTAAGTAAACTGAGTAACATTTTATATTTAATCAGAATTGAACAGCATCACATTTGTTGGCATCTTTATTATTGTTGTTGTTACTTCTACCACCACATACATTTTAAAATCTGATTACTACAGACTTTACAGTCTACAATGTTCACACATAAAGACAGTACTGGACTACCTTTATAAATATTAGCCCCCCCCAAAAGAAGAAGATTGACTGCATCCAACAATAACTTTCACTTCCATACAACTGATTTTTTAAAATATATTTCACGATGAAGACAAATTACAGATCCTATCTTATACTGCCTTTGCTCATACAAAGAAAATGTGTCTCTGAGATGGACACAGTTCATAATAACTGCAGACAAACTTTGTACTTGACCCTGGTTCTTGATTAAAATTCTATGTATTGTTATTTAAATGTGAATGCCTAAAATCTGATCTTGAATATGATCAACTCCAGCAGATTCTGGTTTAGCACTTAGGATTTCGGTATTTGAACTGTGAACGCTTCACTATTACTTTAAGTAAAACAGTTAAAAATTGGATAAAGGTAAGCGGAGGCAATAGGAAGTGACATTTGCAGTTTTAGCAAAATTAAGACTGTTATGTGTATAGTGCATAGTTGGAGAAGTGCTGCCATTAGTATTTCCCCTTCATCACTATTTGGTCAGTTTCTATGTCAGAAATGTGTGATTAAATTGTGACGGGTTCGGTCACAGAGACTCCCCTTGAGACTGTCACTCAGTGAGCTGGGATACCACTGAGAACATCCCTTCTGCCAGAACAGGCACCCCTCCTCTCCTGTCTTGCTGAGTTAGGACACTCCAGACAGCTCCAGCACAGACCAGAGGTTGGGCCAGGCCTCTCTGAGGTTCACTGAAACTGAGATTCACTCAGCCCAGGGGCTTCTCAGTTAACAGGGACTTTCTCAGCACCCAGTGTCCAGCCTTCCTGGGAGCCTGAACCCCAAATAAATCTGTTTTACTCTGCATAAAGCTTATACAGGGTAAATTGTTCACTCTCTTTAACACCAATAGAGAGATATGCACAGCTGTTTGCTCCCCCAGGTATTAATCACTTACTCTGGGTTTATTAATAAACAAAAGTTATTTTATTAAGTATAAAAAGTAGGATTTAAATGGTTTCAAGTAATAACAGACAGAACAAAGTAAGTCACAAAGCAAAATAAAACAAAACACGCAAGTTTAAGCCTAATACATTAAGAAACTGATTACAGGTAATATCTCACCCTCAAAGATGTTCCAATAAGCTTCTTTCACAGACCATATGCCTTCCTAGTCTGGGCTCAATCCTTTCCCCTGGTACGGTCCTTATTAGTTCCAGCAGACATCTCAGGTGGTGAGCCGGGGTTTTCTCATGACTGGCAGCCCCTTTTGTCCTGCTCCACCCCCTTTTATAGCTTTGGCACAAGGCAGGAATTTTTGTCTCTCTGGATCCCCACCACTCCTTCTAAATGGAAAAGTACCACATTTAAGATGGATTTCATTATCGGGTGACATGGTCACATGTCACTGTAAGACCCCTAGTCTCCATTCCCTATGGTCTCGCCCACACACACACAGACGAAGGCTTTCACGTAACTAAGGCTATTTACAACCAATTGTTTCTGGAGCCCCTTAATGTCCTCCACTTAATATGTTTACATCAGTGATACAAGTTTATATCTTATTCTCCTAACTCCAGATATAGAAATAATACATGTAAAGAATTAGGATGAACAAATTTAGGAGATTACAAACTTTCTAATGACACCATACAAAGCGTATTTAGCATAAAGCATATTCCAGTTATGTCATATTCATAAGTATATTTCCATAAAGCATATGGAGTGCAACATCACATAAATGTCAGTGGTACTAGTCACGGATCCAAAGTTCATTAAATCAATTAAATGATTCCCATTGATTTTGATGGGTTTTGGATTAGAGCTTTAGTTGACCAGAGGACAAGTAGCAGGAGGGGCTAGAAAGTAGGCTGAAGTAAAATACGTCAGGCCCTGAGCCTCTACAGAAGGTTTTGTCTTTTGAAGACTAAGATATAGAATCATAGAAGAGTAGGGCTGGAAGGGACCTCGAGAAGTCATCGAGTTCAGCCCCCTGAACTGTGGCAGTACCAAGTAAAACGAAATCATCCCTGACAGGTGTTTGTCCAACTTGTTCTTAAAAACTTCCAATGATGGGGACCCAACAACCTCCCTTGGAAGCCTATTCCAGAGCCTAACTACAATTTTAGTTAGAAAGTTTTTCCCTGATATTTAACCCAAATCTTCCTTACTGCAGGTTAAGCCCATTACTTCTTGTCCTACACCTTCAGTGGACATGGAGAACAATTGATCACCATCCTCTTTATAACAGCCCTTAGCATATTTGAAGGTTATTATCACATTCCCCATCAGTCTTCTTTTCCCAAGCCTAACCATGCCCAGGTGTTTTTAACCTTTCATCATAGGTCTGGTTTCCTAAACCTTGTATCATTTTTGTTGCTTTCCTCTGGACTCTTTGCAATTTGTCCCCATCGTTCCTAAAGTGTGGCACCCAGAATTGGATACTACTCCAGCTGAGGCCTCACCAATGTT